CTAGTGTGTGTGTGTGTGTGTGTGTGTGTGTGTGTGTGTGTGTGTGTGTGTGTGTGTATGTGTGTGTGCGTGATGGATTGGAAGGGGTCAGTGCCCACCATCTTGACTCGCCGCGCAGGTAGAGTGTGTTTTTTTATTTTGAAAAGTTGGCAGTTGTGTGTATGCGCCTTCATCATTCTTTCCTATCAATCATCTGTCATCCTTATCTCCTCCTTCTTTTTTGTGTTCGTTACTCTCTTGTAACACCTCTAATCTTTGGCACTTGTGTGACCTCATTGTGTTGAAAGTGCCGTAAAACTCTCACCAAAACAAAACAACGAAATTAATATGCGTAGAGATCTTTTTCCACCGTTGTCTGTCTCTTTGGATAAAGAAGAATACTGAAATATATTTTATGTGTCTGCATTGCGGGCAGTGGGTGGTTAGCGGGTGCTCTGGTGTGGTTTGCTTCTTCTTTCCTATCAAACATCTATCGTTCTTATCACCCCTTCTTCTTTTTCATGTTTGTTACTCTCTTGTCACACGTCTAATCGTCTGGCGCTCATATGACTTTATGCAGTTGTGAGCGCCCTAAAACTTCTACTAAAAGTAAAGTAAAGCATTGCGGGCAGTTGAAGGGCGCCTCTGGTAGGCCCTTGGACACTTCTTTCCCTCTGTTGTTTCTGTGTGCATGTCTTACTTCTACTATTTTCTTGCATTGAACAACCGTTATTAGGATATTGTGCTTCTCTTTACTCCGACAAACAAACAGTCAAACAAACAATTAAGCATTTGCATCGCCCCGAGAAGCAAAGGTATTCTTAATAGAGCACGCCAATGGCATGTTCAGCAGTATCATGTTACATTTCTTTCTTTTCCGTATTTGGTTGGGTGGTTGGCGGGTGCTCTGGTGAGGTTTGCTTCTTCTTTCCTATCAGACATCTATCGTCCTTATCCCCCCTACTTCTTTTTTATGTTTGTTACTCTCTTGTAACACCTCTAATCTTCTGGCGGTCATATGACCTTATGCAGTTGCGAGCGCCGTAAAACCTCTACTACCCCCCGGGGCAGTGCCTAGGTCCGTATTTCCCCCCGAATATACGCCTAACAGCCTGTAGAAATTGAAAGAGGAAACTTATAAAGTGAATAATTCGATGGATCTTCGCACGCTGGAGTTTAACATCTCCTTTTTAATTTGTTAAATTATTTCAGTAGGAGGTTACAGAAGTGATTATTTCCACCCTTTCCCTCTCCTTCCGTATTGACTAATAATTCAAATCGGGAATCCATAAAGGGAAATTAAGGGTAGAAATGTCAGCTGTCTCAATTTTCCACCAACTACTCACAGTTTACGCATATTTTTAGTGTTGATCTCAATTGGCTTTGCTTTCCCGTTATTGTTTCTATCTGTCTGTCTGTTTTACTTTATCTCAGAACTAAATGGCCGCTATTTTGTATTTGTGCTTCTCTGAACTGAAAGAAACAAACAAACCAATTGGCTTCCTAGACTTTTGTAACAAAATAAAAATAAACAAATACATGAATAAATACATGAATGAGTACATGAATGAACGATTATATGAATGCAAAAACTTACTTACATACATAAATGAATTAAAAGAAAAACAAACCCAACAACCCACCACCACCACTATTAACAACAACACCAACAGCAATCACCGGTTTGTGGTACGTCCGTGATTTGTTAGTCAGTGGCTTCCATCAAAAGACACCAAGACAAGCTAGCGGTCATTGATTTGTCGACGACAAACCTGTATCCCAATTTAAAAAATGACTTTCCAAACTTTCCTTACAACAACATCAACAAAGACAACAAGAACATCAACAACAACAAGAACAAAAACAACAACAACAACATACAAGCGACATGTAAACTACATCAATCACCAGTATTCGACACATCCGTGATTTGTTATTCAAATGTCGCCATCAAACTACGGCTCTAAAACAAGACAGTGTTTGTTGATTTGCCTACCAAAAATCTACTTCTCAATTGACTTTTGAGATTGTTCTCACAACAACATCAACAAAAACAACATCAACAAAAACAACATCAACAACAACATAAAATAGAACTGTCGAGCCTACAGCAATCACCAGTATTCGACACATCCGTCATGTTACCCAGTTGTCTCCATATAAAAACAACAACTCTTAGACGAGCCAATGTTTGTTGATCTGCCTACAACAAATCTGTCTGCCTATTGACTTTTTAGACTTTTCTCACAACAACATGAGCAAAAACAACAGCAACTACATAAAACCGAACTGCTTGTCTTCTGCAATCAGTTGTCACCTTAAAAAAATAACAACTCGTGAACAAGCCAATGTTTGTAGGATTTGCCTACCACAAATCTGTACATCAATTGACTTTTTAGACTTTTCTCACAACGAACATCAACAAAAACAACAGCAACAGCATAAAACCGAGCTGTCTAGTCTCCAGCAATCACCAGCATTTGACACATCCGTGATTTGTTACCCAGTTGCTTCCATCAAAAGACTCCAAGACAAGCCAGTGTTCGCTGAGTTGCCTACCGCAAATCTGTTTCCGTCATTCCGCCGTGATTGATGACGCCGCTTTGTGCGGCAGATATCAGCGAGTCTCTCCAAGGAATTGCGTCTTATTCGTGGCGGTGGTTTTTTTCCTTTTTTTTTTCTACCCGCCCTGTCGGTGTCTTTCCTTCCCATCCTCAAACGAATGAGAAATTTGTTGGACGGATGACAAGGGAGAGAGACAACTCAGTATCCAGCTGTCAGGAGACGGTTTGCTTTATGCAGTGTCGCTGGTTCCAAGATAATGACCGAGTCAACATTGGATATCGAACTTTCTTATGTTATTTGTTGCATTGATCAGAATGTCACGCCGGCGAAAGTCTTTCTATCGTGGTTTTGTGGGGTTGTCTTGTTTTTTGGGGTTGTTTTTTGTCTAATGTTCACACTGGTGTCTGATAGTTTTTGTTGCGTTGATTTTATTGTGTGTTTGTTTTTTGATGTGTGTGTGTGTGTGTGTGTGTGTGTGTGTGTGTGTGTGTGTGTGTGTGTTAATGCATCTCTATGAATTTTTTAACGTATTAAATATTTGTCGCTTTTACCGGCCTGGTCTGCATTCCGAGTACATACTATTGTATTATTTGTGTGCTTGTTTTTATTCCGTGGTGCACGTGTGTGAATGGAGTGTGTGTTTGTCTCACCTCCTCTCTAATGTCTTGTTTTTATCACTTTTTGTTACGTCCACGTACCCTTATTGTCTCCGTGGGTGGTTGGCGGGTGCTCTGGTGTGGTTTGCTTCTTCTTTCCTTTCAAAAATCTATATTATCCTTATCTCCCCTCCTTCTTTTACTCTCTTGTAACAGCTCTACTCTTCTGGGGCTCATATGACCTTATGCAGAAGCGAGCGCCGTAAAACCTCTACTAAAACTAAAACTCATTGTCCCCCTCCCCTTTTTCTCTCCCCCCCTCCCCAAATCTCTCTCTCTTTCTCTCTCATTCCCCCCCTCCCCAAATCTCTCTCTCTTTCTCTCTCATTCCCCCCCCCCCCTCTCTCTCTCTCTCTCTCTCTCTCTCTCTCCCTCTCTCTTCCTCTCTCTCTCTCTTTCTCGTTTTTCTCCCGCCCCCTTTTTTCGACCCTTCCCTCCTTCCTCTCTGTTTCTTTCTGTTTCTTACTTTCTTTCCTTTCTACTCTCTGTTTGTCCGTCCGTCTATCTGTTATTCCATTGCTTCCTAAGTCTTGGTTTCTCTATCTCTCTGTTCGTAGTATCTCTCTCTCTCTCTCTCTCTCTCTCTCTCTTTCTCTCTCTCTCTCTCTCTCTCTCTCTATCTATCTCTCTCTCTCTCTCCCTCCATCTGTCAATCTCTCTCTCTCTCTCTCTCTCTCTCTCTCTGTGTGTGTGTGTGTGTTTAAGTGTGTGTGTGGGAGGGGGGTTGTTAGTGCTTTACGACGCTTGCAACTGCATAAGGTCATATGAGCACGTAGGACACAAACATTTATTTTCAGTCTGTATGAAATTTTGAATTAGCCCGGGTGGATGTCGAAGCCTACTCTTATCGATTTTGGACCGCCAAAGGATCTTTAACGTGCGCAACTTCCCCCGGGACCTCCGAGATTCGCCTTTGTCCAAGAAGGCTATGTGTAGGTCTTTCCTACCATAAGATCAGGGGTGTGGCTGAAAGACAGCAGTAAGAAGGAGCCAAGGACTAGCAGTAGAAAGGCTGCAAAAAGAGTCAGGAGCCCAGAAGGGGCAAAGGAGGTGAGGGGGTTAGGGGTTGAAAGTGGAGGCGAAAGCAGACGACAGAATATGGGTAGAGAGCAGGAAAGGAGGTGGAAGGAGACAATTTTAGAGAAGAAAAATTTCCATCGCTATCCGGATTCGAACCCCGAGCCTATTGAATGAGAGGCAAACACCTTTACCTCTAAGCATCGAGAGTCCCTGTGTGTGTGTGTTTGTGTGTGTGTTTGTGTGTGTGTGTGTGTGTGTGTGTGTGTGAGCGTGTGTGTGTGCACATGCGTGCGCGTGTGTAAGAGAGAGATAGCTAGAGAAAGAAGGAGGGAAGAAGATAACGAGAGAGAGAGAAAGAGAGAGAGAGAGAGAGAGAGAGAGAGAGAGAGAGAGAGAGAGAGAGAGAGAGAGACATACACACACACACACACACACACACACACACACACACACACACACACACACACACTCACACTAAAAAGTAGAGACAAAGTCACAGTGTGTTTGCGTACGTGCGTCGGTGCATGAGAATGTGCGTGCACTTGTATAAAGTGAACGGGCGATTGTGTACTGACATTTGATGCGGGAAGATGCTGTTGTTTGCCGGGCCTAAATACGCGCGCGCACACTTGCGCGGGTCTAACATTTCAACCTCCTCTGTGATTAAGGGGGGTGATAATGCACAATTGACAAGCTTGTGATAAAGGACTGAGTATAAAGCTTCAGATGATCTTCTGTTGGTTTTTTTTGTCATGGAAAAACAAAAAACAACAATTGTAAAAACAAAAGCACTCTTGTCTCTCGGCACCGAAATCAGCACGATCAACCCGCGCGTGTGACATTTGCACCTGGTTTACTTTTTGTCGTTTTTGTTTTGTTTTGTTTCTTTCGTTTGTTTTTGTGTGTTGTCTTTTGTTTGTTCTGCTATCGCTGATGTGATGGGTGGGCTGATGAGGGATTGATAAATTGTCTGTGAGCTCGATCGGTTTTGTGGAAGAAGTCTACAGTTGCACAGTAGCAAACTTCTTTGATAATGAGAGGAAGCACACAAACAACTGATCTTCTTGTCTTTTTTTTTTAAAAACCCATTAGTTTGTGAGGGGCGGAGAAACACAATTATAGATAACATTTGTATAGCGAAAATCTCCGCTCAACAACAAGCTCTATGCTCTTTACAATCTATACTAATATGTACCCTAGCAGACCTGAGAGCATTCTGAAACAACCCCTACTTCCTCGCAGCATACAGTGCAATCCGACATTATAGGCGCTAAAACACTAACATACTGACAAGATCTTTCGCTGTCTATGGCCGAGTACCCATTCCCACCTGGGTGAAGTGAGGAAAATTCGTGTAAAGTGCCTTTCCGTAAGTACGAGTATGCAACGTCGGGCCCGCGGCTCGAACCCCCGAACCCGCAACCTCACGATTATGAGACAGGCAGCCTAAGCACTACACATCCATTATTTCTCACTCACTTGGATGCAATTTGAATCACTATCGGTTGTAAATGCCGGCGCCCGTGGTGTAGTGGTTTGGCGCTTGGCTGTCGCATGCATGAGTTCGATTCCCGAGTGGGGAGAAACTTGTATCGTGTATCTCGTTTTTTTCTGCTGGGAGGTTGTATCCCTGTCAGCCCGGTGGTCGAAACCCACCTCTTAAATGATATATAAATTGTGTGGATGGAGGTGTGAAGTCACCTACATAAAATATCGGCACAGGTAGACTGTAACGTACAGTTTGTCTTTGAAAAAAGAACATGCAACACTCAAAGTGGGTGCTCTGGTGGGGTGTGCCTCTTCTATCCTATCGAACATCTATCGTCGTTATTTCTCCTGCTGTTTGTGTTTGTTACTCTGTTCTAACACCCTTAGATCTTCAGCATTTATCATATGACCTAATTGTGAAGTAGGTGCCGTAAAACTCTTACTAAAACTTAACGTTTCAATCGTGATCATGGTCATAGTTATTACTGGCACAAATAAAAAAGCGAAAAAAAAACCCAACAACCAGACTTGAATTGAATTATATTAGTATAAACGAACTTTTCCGAAGTTTTGACGTGTGTGCTTCATAAGGATCATCATCATCATCATGATCATCATGGTCATCATCATCATGGTCATCATCATCATCATCATCATCATCATCATCATCATCATCATCATCATCATCATCATCATCATCTCCACCGCCCTCTGTTTTCCCCCAGACACCGCCTAAAGGTCCCAATGTTCGTGCCGGAGTCATCCTCCCTGCTGCAGAAACTGACAGCCTGGTTGTTAGGGCGGAGGCCGGAGTTCGTGAACCCACGAGTGGTGGCTCAGGGAGAGGGACGGGAAGGTAGGTGTCTTTGTGTGTGTATGTGTGTGTGTGTGTGTGTGTGTGTGTGTGTGTGTGTGTGTGTGTGTAGAGAGAGAGAGAGAGAGAGAGAGAGAGAGAGAGAGAGAGAGAGAGAGAGAGAGAGAGAGAGAGAGAGAGAGAGAAAGAGCGGATGTCCCATGTTTTCAAAAAACGTATTGTGTCACGTAGTGTCGATGCCTTACTCTATTGTGCTTTGAGACTATGAGATTTAAAAAAAGAAGTACTTCTGCTATAACTCCCTCTTCAACACACTCGAGATCTCTTTGGAGTCGCGTAGTTTGGACTCTGTCTTTATGAATGGTTGGAGGGTGTTACTAGCAGGTCCTTCTTCTTTTCTTTCCCTTTGTTGTTTCTGTATGTCTGTCTGATTTTTCTTTGCACTAAGTGACCTTTATAGTGTCAATTGGTTCCTCTGTTGTTTCCGTCTCTCTGTCTGTCTGGCTGGCTGGCTGTCCTATTTATCCCATCTCTAAATGATATTTTTTGTCGACGTGCACCTCGTTACTCAAACAAATAAACACGATCTACTTTTGTCATCGATGTGCATCCCTTGCAGTGTGTTTTTACTCAAGTTTCTTTTTTTTACCTCAAGTGGAAGCAATGATATGGAAAAGCAAAATGAAAAAGTTGTAACGAAGAAAACAACTTTCCATTTGTAATCCAAAAGTCTTTTTTTCTGCAACATCAAAGTTCATTGTTCTAGAAGAGTAATCAGCCCAGAGATTTCATTGAACTGCGTTCGTTTTATTTAGTTTATGTGACGATTTGCATTCATCCTGGGTGTCCGGATTCGTCTCAAGGGTCTGAGTCATCAAAATCTAACTCCTTTTTTTACACAGCTTTTTCGGCTCGTTCAACTCGTAAAAACTATTTTGAACTCGTTAGCGAAATAAGAGTCATGCGTCTAGACATGTCTTCAGCTGTGGTGAGATTTTATCGTATAAAGACCTGGAGAGATGTGGATGTATTTGTGGCGTGTTTCCGACCCCTCAGGTGCCTGTGGCACGTTGGGAGGAAAGAAGGAGGGGAGGGGGGGATATCTAGATGTTACCACCTGCGCTGTAAGGCTGTGATGTTGTTAACACGTCCAATCCGAGTACCCTCTCTGGTCCAATCAGGTCGTGGGTTAATTTAAGAGCTCCGTGGCAAAACGCATTATATCCATTTACTACAAAACTGCGAAGAATGACCTCCCCCAAAACATACAAACAAACAAATAAATAAATAAATACATAAGTAAATAGTACACCACCAAAAACAAACTAAAAACCACATATTCTGTTAAAACAAAAGTGTGGACGAAACGCTATTGTATCATGCTAAATAACTGAGGGATTTCGTGCGTTTTGAGGGGAACCCCCCCTAAAACAAACAGCAAAACTATTTCACGACTATTCTCTAATTATAAGATTATGTAGAATGGACGAGGTTTTTCGGAAATGTACAGATTTGTCATATGGTGCGTTTTGCAAGGAAACCCTTCTGTTATTCCTTTCTGTTTATGTTGTTGTTGTTGTTTTGGTCGTTCATTTTTCTCCCTGGAGAGAACGAGAAGTGGTTTATGAACGTCCCCACGTGCGGCCGACGGCGAATTAACGTTTCCGCACTTATTTATAGCATGTGCACCTGCGTCAAAATTACAATCGGACCTGCTCTAACGGCCCACCTTTCCAAGACAATTACCCGTACAAACGACCTCTCCTCCTACCCATCTCCCC